CTATCTTTTTGGCACTGATAGTGCAGACTACAAAGCTAAGTCCCATATCTGCGAAAGAAATATATATGGGTTATTGACCAAGCGTGACGTCAAGATGGCTGACTATTGGCCAAGTTTTTCTTTTTTGCGTGTTTATGGATCGAAGACAGAGTCGAGGTCCATAAGTTCCAAAAAAAAGATCGAGGCAAATATCCGGTCATCCTGACCGAACAAGCTTGGTTAATAAAGAATTTATGAGGGAATGTCCCCTAAGACCGAGCCATATAGCAAATATGTGGTACAGGATGAAAAATCAAAACTTTTCATATTTCGCTCAGAGATAGCCCATGGTGAGCCTAGAAACGTAGTGAGTTTTTTGTTTTTGAAATAGTTTTTAAACCCGCCCAAAAAATCAAAAATTCGTTACGGCCCCAAGTCTGGTCAAAAACACACAAAATTGAGTGACTCATACCTTATCATAAACTTCGCTCTGTTCAAACGGCATCACAATAACACTCCAGTTTGAGCCTGGAAACGTACTTTTGAGAGGTTTACAATTCGTTTGAGGCCAATTATACTTCTGCTGATTAATTTTCAAGGTCACGAAGGGCCGTTTAAAATCACTAAAATTCGCTTCCTCAAAATTCTTAATTATGCGCACTTTTTCAATCGGCAAATTCGCGGCCCGGCAAAACACCGAAATACCTAAAATTCTGACATTTCGAAAGAAGAAATGTCAGTGTAAAAGCTGGTATAAAAATTATTTTCGGGCTTTTCTTCAGCGCTTTTCTTCAGAACCAACGCTCTCAAAATCGTCATAACCACAACAACAGCCTGCTAGAAACGAAAACATTAGGCAAGTACCTATCACCAGATAATCAAAAAGAACGTGCAAATGTCTCCTTGCATTTGATTTCCTCGGTATCTGGACTTTAACTATGGCAGAAAAGTCATGTTTAGCTCACCTTCTGTAAGATATTACATCCAATTATTAAGCACTGGTGTATTCAGAATCCTACACGATAACCATTGCGACGCGTGGAGTTCGGCAAAGTACTCCATCTTCTTCTTCCGAGACAATCCACCACATTCCTATCCCTTGTTCTTAAACAGCAATCCATAAAAGTAGTGAAGCCCTCCAGCGTCAGTCCCTTGCTTGCCTAAGCGAAATGCTTATCATTATGTTCTGTTCTGCTCCTGCTGAAATGTAAATATGGCAACCGATGTCGACTAATTGCCACTAAAAATCAAAGAAATCGTGGCCACGGTCCAAAAGTCGATTTTGCTCATGATTTGCCAGTTTGAAGGCCTAGGNAAGATCGAGGCAAATATCCGGTCATCCTGACCGAACAAGCTTGGTTAATAAAGAATTTATGAGGGAATGTTCCCTAAGACCGAGCCATATAGCAATTATGTGGCACATGATGAAGAATCAAAAGTTTTCATATTTCGCTCAGATATAGCCCATGGTAAGCCTAGAAACGTAGTGAGTTTTTTGTTTTTGAAGTTTTTAAACCCACCAAAAAAATCACAAATTTGTTACGACCCCAAGTCTGATCAAAAACACACAAAATTGAGTGACTCATACCTTATCATAAACTTCGTTCTGTTCAAACGGCATCACAATAACACTCCAGTTTGAGCCTGGAAACGTACTTTTGAGGGGTTTACAAGTCGTTCGAGGCCAATTATACTTCTGCTGATTAATTTTCAACGTCACGAAGAGCCGCTTAAAATCACTAAAATTCGTTTCCTCAAAATTCTTAATTATGCGCACTTTTTCAATCGGCAAATTCGCTGCCCGGCAAAACACCGAAACACCTAAAATTCTGACATTTCGAAAGAACAAATGTCAGTGTAAAACCTGGTATAAAAATTATTTTCGGGCTTTTCTTCAGCGCTGAGAACCAACGCTCTCAAAATCGTCATAATCACAACAACAGCCTGCTAGAAACGAAAACATTAGGCGATTAACCATCACCAGATAGTCAAAAAGAACGCGCAAATGTCTTCTTGCATTTGATTTCCTCGGTATCTGGATTTTAACTATGGCAGAAAAGTCATGTTTAGCTAACCTTCTGTAAGATATTACATCCAATAGATCGTTTTCACTGTCACGCAATAAAAAAATAAATCGAAAACCATCCAGTGGAAAAAGCTATGAAATTATGATGTTATAGAAGATAACTTAATAAGCCACTTCCCCAAGTTTTAGGCCTGTGCGTGTCCCCAAACTTCAGATATTCATCGAAATGTTTCGCCGATATTTACAGAGCCCAGTATGAAAACGCCATGT